TGCTTTCAAATTTTGACATTTAAAATTCCTATTAGAATGTAAAAACATAGCTTGCCACTGAAAATGGTTTGAAGGTGGGGCAGGGTAAAAATGTGGAGAAGATAAAAAAGATGAAATTGTGGTGAAGTAAAGAGATTCCTTGCACGTTAACAGGCACCATCTGTTTGGTCATGGCAGCTTCACTGCAAAGAATAAGCCAGGAATAGCTTTGATCAGTCAGTCTTCACAGCACTGGAACAGATGGCCAACATCTGTAACGTGGATTTAGAAGTAATCCTTCCATATCAAATTATGGACACTCAGAACGAATAACTATTTTGACAATGCATCCCAACTAAAACAACTGTCATTGTAACAAGACAGCTGCAGAAAGTTATTTCATTGATTAACACACCTCAATACAGTACTATCTGCATGACTCATTTGGAAGCAGTCTTTACATTAATGGAAGATGATGGTGTGATAAAAGTGTGTTAAAGACCACGAAATTTTAGCAATAGTGTAGTCAGAGGTTATCATCTGTGATTTGGTCAGGGCAGCATAAGTGTTTAAACAGTACGGAAGGTGACCTGAAGCAATCAGATTGAAGAGTTTTGGCAGAAACAAGTAGCTTGGAACAAATTTGTGTGGACAGGGAGTTCGAGATGGAGTGGTGGTTACTGGAATAGGTTGGATGCATGCATGTGTGGATTTCTGGTGGAAAATTATGATAGCTGTTTTGAAATGAACGGGGAAATTCCCAAAGTTCAAAAAGGTACAAATAACAAAAGAAGTTACCAAATGTGGCAATCAAGAGAAGAATTGGTGAAGGACTGAAAGAATGAACAAGTTGTGAGGAAAAGAGGTGTTGGAAGATGTAAAAAAATCCCTGTTGTTCTGGGCAGTTGAGATTACAGTTTTGGAAAGCACTATCAAAGGTGGTTTGGTGAGTTGTTGCAGCATAGACAATGGGTAGGGGGAAGGACAATACTGATCTAAAAAAAAATCAAACATAGATAAACTTGATCTTAAAATGTTGTTTTTGAATAGGTCTTGCTTGAGTTTGAGACTTAATATGGGTAGAAACAAAGATAAGTCCTACAAATGGGAGTAGGAAATAGTGAGCAGAAGGATAGGAATGGGGTAGCAAAAGGTAAAGGAGAAGGGATAGTAGGGCTGATAAGCAGCAGGACACTATTAGAAGAGACAAGGAGGAGAGAGAGTTGAGAGCTAGAAGTTGATTTAGTGAAACTGGGGAGAGAAAAAGAAAGTCCCAAGTGCTGGTGTTAGGTGAGGAGGGACAAACAATGGTTAGAAATCAGTTTATTTCTGTTACTTGGTTAAGTAGCTTTAATCTTAATATGATTCAACCATACTGAAGTTCTACTTCCTGCAATTAAATGTCACAGTGGAAGCATCATACTCACATAAGGTTAGCAAGAAATCAATTTATTAATAATGTTCAAGTAGTTTACAATATAATTCCCAAGAGTCTAGCTTGAGACAATGTCGACCATGAGATCCTTAATACAAACAAAAATATGGGACTATGGGTGGGTAGAAGTCAACAGGATACAGGGCTTGCCTATTGCTCCAAGTGGTGCAATTTCTGGCTAACAAAAAAAAAATCAAATTTTTAGTTCATAAACTACAGAAATGATAGTTGAAATTCATTAATTAAAATTCCATAAGTTTTTAATTTTATGAGCAATACTCCAAGCACTTATCATTGGCATTGAATGTTGTGTAAAGCTTTCTTAATTCCATACTGTAGCTTTACAAGAACACCCCATTCTATATTAGTGTACATTTATTTCCTTGCTATGTCCAAGCAACTCGTCTTCTTTCGCTAAAGTAGCAGTAACAGTTGAAATGATGGAGTATTTATTCTATTAGCTTTAAAAAAAGTGCACTGGAACACCCTAAGATATTTCCTAGCAGTACTATTTAAATGTATCTTCTTCTCAGGCCAAGTAGAAATTAATACCAAATTAGAACATCTGACCTTGTCTGTTGGGGATATGACAAACTTACACCAAAGAGACCTATAAAAATACTAAGCTTCCTTTTTACAAGCATATCTGTTTCTTCATGAGAAGGATACAATACATTATTTAGTTAGCTTTTTTCCCCATGTAACTGCATGATTCAGCAGCATTAGACATGAAATTTGAGAGTCACTGTAGATAAATACTGCAGATAAAATGAATGTCTGACCTCTTCAAGACTCTTCTTCTGGGGCTAAATCAGAATGTTATTTAAATCATCAGGAAAAAGTAATTTTGTCAACTTTAACACAGATGAAGAAAAACATGTTCGGGAAAATAATATGTAGCGACAGTGACTTTTCACCTCTAGGATCAGGTATCAAATCCAGTAATGTCAAAACTCATAATGGAGGTCAATGACAGTTAAGCTATTTCAGATGAGTCGATTCATCTCAAAGCACCAAGATAAATCATTTAATAATTCACTTATTTCTACTACATTACTATGAATTCCTTGGGGTGGTACAATTAGTGTACAGTATTATATCAATAAAAATTGATGTTTGTTGAGGAATACAGACAAAAGCTTAGTTTAAAATCAAATGACAATTTTGTACTTCTTCAGCACTGCCCTAATTTTCAGCCAGGTTTTACGGGCCCAAATCCTGGAATAAGGATTGAACTATCTCAAGTGGGTAAGACATCAAATTTGAATTTTTTTTTTGTTTTATTTGTGAACATTCTATCAGTAGGAGAGTCAAAGAAATAATAATCATTTTGTTAATAAACTTCATGTGAAGTTGTTTTCACTTAAAATGTTTAGGTTACAAAATGTGTAGCAGATCATGTACAATTTCAAGGTCAAAGCTAAGGCTGTGGAGCAGCTTGACTGCAGGACAACTTGGAACATTGAAACAGGAGTAAACCATTCAACCCCTCGAGCCTGCTCCACCATTCTGAAAGATGATCTGTCGCCAAACTCCATAGGCCTGCCCTCTTGGCTATTCTCTGCACTTGGGCATTTTAAATAGCTATGTACCCGAACCCCAAATCTTACTGGTCATCCACCGTATTTAACTTTGTGCCTTCTAAAAAAAAAAAAGAGCTTTCTTTTCTCGGTCTAAAATGGATAACCTCACACTTGTCTACATTAAAACCTACCTGCCACAGCTTTGCCCCTTCAGCTAATCTATCAACATCTGTTATAATTTTATGCTGTCATCACCACTGACTCCAATGCTGCCCAATTGTGTCATCAGCAAATTTGGATATTTGACTTTTTACACCATTACCCAAGGCATTAGTGAAAATTGTGAATAATTGAGGCCCCAAACACAGATCCCCATGGGGCACCAGTCACATCCTGCTAATTTGAGTACTTACTCATTATTCCAACTGTTTCTTGCCATTCAACCAATTTCCTATCCATGCCAGTAATTTGCCCTTAATTCTGTAGCCTTCCACCTTTGTTAAAGTTCTACACAAGAGACTATTAACAAAGGCCTTCCAGAAGTCCATATAAGCAGCATTCGTCAACTTACCTCTATTCACTACCTTTGCCACCTCTTCAAAAAACTGAGGTTTGTCAGGCTGACCTACTCTTCATGAATCCGTACTGATTCTGCCTGATTACCTCAAAAAAAAAACCTTGGTTAATCAGTTATCCTAACCTTGATTATAGATTCCAACAATTTCCCTACCATAGATAATAGGCTAACTGGTCTGCAATTTGCTAATTTCCCTTTTTCACCCTTCAAGAGTAGAATGACATGAACAAGTTTCCAATCCAGCGATATAATTCCTGAATCCAGGGAACACTGAAAAATTATGGCTAGGACATGCTATTACATAAGAACACAAGAACTAGGAGCAGGAGTAGGCTGTCTGGCCCTTCGAGCCTGCTCCGCCATTCAATAAGATCATGACTGATCTTTTCGTGGACTCAGATCCACTTACCCGCGTTCTCACCGTATCCCTTAATTCTTTTATTGTTCAAAAAAAAAAGCTACCTTTTTTTTAAAAAACGTTTACTGAAGTAGCATCAACTACTTCACTGGGCAAGGAATTCCATAGATTAACAACCCTCTGGGTGAAGAAATTCCTTCTCAATTCAGTCCTAAATCTGCTCCCTCTAATCTTGAGGCTATGCCCTCTTGTCCTAGCTTCACCTGCCAGTGGAAACATCCTTCTACTTCTATCTTATCTATTCCCTTCATAATTTTATGTTTCTATAAGATCCCCGCTCAATCTTCCGAATTCCAATGAATATAATCCCAATCTACTCAGTCTCTCCTCATAAGCCAATCCCCTCAACTCCGGAATCAACCTAGTGAACCTCCTTTGCACTCCCTCCAGTGCCAATACGTCCTTTCTCAAGTAAGGAGACCAAAACTGCACACAGTACTCCAGGTGTGGCCTCACCAGCACCTTGTACAGCTGCAACATAACCTCTCTGCTTTTTATTTCAATCCCTTTAGCAGTGAAGGACAAAATTCCATTTGCCTTCCTAATTACTTGTTGTACCTGCAGACCTACCTTCTGCGATTCATGCACAAGGACACCCAGGTCTCTCTGCATAGCAGCATGCTGCAACTTTTTACCATTCAAGTAATAATCCTTTTTACTATTACTCCTACCAAAATGTATGACTTCACATTTATTTACACTGTATTCCAACTGCCAGACCTTTGCCCACTCACTCAACGTATCTATGTTCCTCTGCAAAGTTTCACAGTCCTCTGCACACTTTGCTCTGCCACTCATCTTAGTGTCATCTGCAAACTTTGACACCCTACACGTGGTTCCCAACTCCAAATCATCTATATAAATTGTAAATAACTGCAGTCCCAACACCGATCCCTGAGGCACACCACTAGTCACTGACTGCCAGCTAGGACAGCACTCATTTATCCCCACTCTGCTTCCTGTTAGTCAACCAATCCTCTATCCATGCTAATACTTTACCCTAAATGCCATGCATCCTTATCTTATGCAGTTACGGGCACACAAAAAAAAACTAAATTAAATACTTACCATAATGTGGTTTTCGCGAAGCCGATATCAAAAATCCTGCAAAAGATACTTCCCACAGGTGGAAAGTAGAATGCAGTTAAGACTGTTTAAATATTTTCACTTGTTAGCTGCATCTAGCACATTATTGCTATTGCTAGTTTTTTGCACCTCAAATTTTTTTAGCTTCAGATACTGGAATTGCAACTTGTGGCTCTAATGTTAACTAAATTGGCATTGAACTGAAAAAAATAAGCAAAACAGTTTTTCATAGTATTCTTTATAGAAAGAAAAGCTGGGTTCAGGTTTGCTATTTTGTTGTAGCATTGGTTATTGTCTTCAAATTATTAAAAATATGCTCTTTTCACAATGCAATCTTCAATTATTCACTCAGCATATGCAGGAAAAATTCACAAATAAACAATTATTTAACACATCACAGAAAAGTTATAATCAAGTCATTTTGTTTGAAGAAATCTCAAACTGTATGAATCATGTTTTGAACCCGATTTCACAGAAGATGGTGTCAGCAGACAATAAGACACAAGAGTAGAGGTAAGCCAACAAGTCTGTTCTGGTATTCAATAAGATTATAGCTGATCTAATAATCCTCAACTCCACTTTCGTGACTTCCAACCCCTCCCCCTACTTCACCCTTGATATAGTTACTGATTAAAAAGGTGTCTCAGGCATGAATTGCAAGGAAAATGATCCCTCATCATTTACACTGCCAAGTCACCCATGCATCTTGTACTTCAAAAAGTTACCTCTCATTCTTCTAAATGAAGTAAAGCCCAGACTACTCAACTTCTCTTCCCAAAAAAAATCCCTCTGGCTTGGATCAACCTAGTAAATCTTCTCTGGACTGTCTCCAATGCCAGTACATCTTTCATTAGAATACTGAATGATTTTAGTCCTATTATCTAAGCGTATTCAAGTGGTGCCTCGTATAGTTTTAGCAAGACTTCCCTATCTTTATACCCCATTTCTTCTATTAGTCAGCCAGACCACTATCATTACTGGAATACTACCCTCAATACTTACTTAAACACTTTTTGGAAATCCAAATATCTAACATTTAATTGCTCCACTTTACCTACCCTGCATGTTACCTCCATAATAAAAAAAAAAAGAGTTCTTTGTAAGTTTGTTCATTGCGATTTCCCTTTCACAACGTAATTTCTTGTTGGTTTTTAAAATTCCCAATCTTCTCATTTACCAGAGGTCTTTCTCACATAGTATCAACTTTGAAGAAAATAAATACAATCCATAAATGGTAGATTTATTCCCTTCCTTGAACCCTCCTGCTTCACTGGAATATATCTTGGCTACAGGCAAACTTTTTTCCCCTCAAACATCTGTTAGCACTGTTCCCTCACAGCCCCGGGGACCCGGGTTCAATTCCAGCCTCAGACAACTGCCTGTGCAGAGTTTGCACATTCTGTGTGTCTGCGGTGGGTTTCCTCCCACAGTCCAAAGATGTGCGGGTTAAGTGGATTGGCTATACTAAATTGCCCATATTGTCTAGAGTGGGAAATGCAGGGATGGGAGAGGGGGTGGGTCTGGGTGGGATGCTAGGTATGGACTCGATGAGCCAAATGGCCTGCTTTCACATTGTAGGGATTCTATGATGAGGATGACATCAGCCTTGCAACTTTGAACTGCATTTTGCCCCAACTACAGTGAAATTTCCACCTACTGGCTTTACTGCAAAGGTCATGTGCAGAAGAAAAAAAGTCAGCTAGCCAGTTAGAAGCCCACTCCAAACAGCAGATGGGCTAGATGTGTTTTCAGTGGGAATTTTACCCTTCACTGCGAGATGTCCCACCCTTGCGAGTTGCCAGCCAAAGAAATCGGCCTGTGGCTACAATCAGGCCCAGTAGCCCCACAGCACCATAATGAGCACTACAAGGGCTGCAGTCAGGCCTGATGGATCCTGGATCCAGTTAAGCCTGGGGCCTTTGAGCTTTTTTTCAGATAACTAGGGAGAGTGGGAGGGGTTGGAAGTCAGGAAAGTGGAGTTAAGGATTATTAGATCAGCTATAATCTTATTGAAGACCAGAGCAGACTTGCTGGCTTACCTCTACACCTATGCCTTATTGTCTGCTGACACTATCTTCTGTGAAATCAGGCTCAAAACATAATTCATACAGTTGAGATTTTTTTTCAAACAAAGTGACTTGATTATAATTTTTCTGAGTGATCTGGGACAGTCAATGGCCATCCTCCAGTGGTAAAACCTTTCATTCCGCCCCACCACAATTTTAAGCACATTTAACAAAAACATCCCATGCACGTTTGCTGGCCCACAACCACGTTAACCTTCCTCGGGCATCTTTAATTATTTATTAACCCATGATGGATGGGTTGCCAATTTTGGAACATCACATCTTCCGTACAAATACCCTTAACTACACTTGTGCAAGATTTCGTGGTTATCTCAACTTAATTCCTGCTAAGTGTCCACAAAACAAAACTGTTCTAACTTGCATTTGTTAAAAAAAATAAAGCATGTACCAGAACAACAGAATAAGAGATCAGTGAATATTTGACAACATTAAAGCTTTCCTAATTATGGAAGCATGTGCTGTGTCACAGGACAGGGGTTAAAATTATGGACCTTGCGGACTAGAGTTTCAATCCCATCATCGATAGGGTTGACGGTTAGAACCTTTCCCCCACCCCTCCAAGAGTGGAAATGTCTAATACTAGGGGACATGCATTTAAATGTGAGGGTGGAAAAGTTCAAAGGAGATGGGAGGGGCAAGATTTTTTTACAGAGAGTAGTAGGAGTTTGGAATGCTTTGCCAGGGTGCTTTCTTTAGTTTGTTTGTTAGATAGAGTTTGTTGGATTGTTTCCTTGATCTATAACTGTACAGAATTGAATTGCGTGCGATTATAAAAAGATATTTCATGAACCAACTACATTTTTGAAATAAAAATGTGACTCCAGATCTAGAGCAATGTGTTTTAACACTTCTGAAATGGCCCATCAAACCATCTCGCATTCAAGGCAGCTGTTCATGGCCACCTGTTATGAACAGACAATAAATGCTAATACCTTAACATTGACTGCCACACCCATCAAAACAAATAAACAAAAATTGTGTGGTCCATTGACATACAAAAAAACCCAAGGAAACTGCTAACAGATGTGCATTGAAAATCTGTGACAAACTTTTTCCAAGAATGGAGTACCAACATGTTGCAACTCTTGAAGTTTGCTATTCAGGAATTGTATAAATCTCAGTATGAAAAGGCATCAATCCATTTCTTGAAATGGAAGGGGGTAATTAGGAAACATTTATACATTAAAATCAACAATATTGTCTATGGCTTCACTAATTAAAGGATACTGCTAAATATGAAAGGAAACAAACTGCTTGAAAAGAAAAGATAATGGGGTAAAAACTAAAAAGAACTGCGGATGCTGTAAATCCGGAACAGGAACAAAAACAAAGTTGCTGGAAAAGCTCAGCAGGTCTGGCAGCATCTGTGGAGGAGAAAACAGAGTTAACGTTTCGGGTCCAGTGACGCTTCCTCAGATAATGGGGTGCCTTTTTAAGACATTGGTGGCACTAAATGTTAAGTCTGGGTAGGATGCATACTATGTTGTTGAAGTAAAAGGTAGAAATAGCAGAGGCTCTAGCCACAACCTTCTAAATCTTCCTTCGATCTGGTGTCATGCTCATTATGGAATACTGCAAATGTGACACCCCATTCAAAAAAACAAGGCGGCGAGAGATGATTCCATTAACTATAGCCTCCTCCATCCAAAATTCAAGCTGGACAAAACTAAGAGCACAGTTGCTTGGAAGCAAGAGTGCCATATAATACACCTGTTAGCAAAATTAAAATCCATTGGATTAAGGGGACAAAGGATAGGCAGCTAGTTAAATCACAGAAAACAGTGTGATAAACAATTGTTTATTAGACAAGGTAAAAGTATGCTCTGATTTGACACCCGAAGGTCGGTTTAGAAACTACTTTTGGATGTACTATAATGACAATTTTTGCTATCGGAATTTACTCTCTTAAAAGATTGATGGTTTGGGAAATTCTCTTCATCGAAGAGCAGTGTAGCCTTAGAATATTAGCATGGGCGAGATAGATTTTTAATTCAAAGGAATCGAGGATTATGGGTGGCAGAAGAGTTACGGTCACAATCTGATTAGCAATGATCTTATTAAATAGGAGAGCAGGCCTGAGGAGCCAAATGGTTTACGTTTATTCTTATTTCTTACGGAACGCAGAATTTAAAAGTTTGTTTACTATATTTCCAAGTTTTGTGTGACTGCAATGAACAAAGATAAGGTACTTCAGAGGACATAGGTTTATGAACTGGGCAGACTGGTAGCAGAAAATTCAACAAAGGACGTACTGAGTGCTGTAGCTTGTCAGAAATCAGATGCAATAAAGAGTAAAATAAAATTTTACAGAGTGTATGAACTGGAAAATTCATACACATCTTTGAAGATGGCAAGAAAAAGAGGAAAAAATGCAATGAGCTGGGTTTTATGAATTGACCACAGTACAAAGGCAATGCTAAACTTATTTATAAGTTACTTGTTCAGCTTCAGACAGGAGCTGGACACCACATTTCACGAAGAATGTCTGAGGATGTTTACTATAAAGGGTCAGTAACAGTTATTCAGAAGGCTAAAGCTGCTTGGAATGTTATCCTCACAGCAGAGAAAGTTAAGGTCAGATTTAATAATGATGATTTTGATAAGTATGAAGAAGCCATTTTCACTGACAAGAGATCAGTCTGCCAGACTGAGGTTTGAAACAGTATTCTTTTTTTTAAAATACACAAGTTGTTATAATATGGAACATACAAGAGTGAGCAGTGAAAGGAGATTGAATAATACTTTTATACAGCCATTGAGTCATATTGCATGGAAATTGGACCGAAGAGTCTATCAGTCCATGCCAAACATAATCCCAAACTAAACTAGTCCCACATCCCTCCAAACCTTTCCTATTTCAAGTACACATTCAAATAACCTCCAAGTTATGTGGCACTATCACCCGCTAAATGGGACAGACATTGAACAGATCTAACAACTCAAGACTGGGCATCCATAAGGCGCTGTGGGCCAATAGCAGAATTGTACTCTAGCACAATCTGTAACCTCCTGGCCCAGCATATCCCCCACTCAATCATTAATATTAAGGCAGGGAATCAACCCTGGTTCAATGAAGAGTGCAGGAGGGTATGTCAGGACCAGCAACAAGCTTACCTGAAGATGAGGTGTCAACTTGGTGAAGCCACCAAACACATACTGTTTGACATGCAAGCAGTCAAGCAGCAAGTGATAGACAGGGCTAAGCAATCCCACAACCAACAGATCAGATCTAAGCTCTGAAGTCCTGCCACATCCAGTCGCGAATGGTGGCGGACGATTAAACAACTCACTGGAGGAGGCAGTTCCACAAATATCCATGTCCTCAACGATGGAACAGTCCAGCTGAACAATGCAAACGATAAGGCTGAAGCATTTGCAACAATCTTCAGCCAGGAGTGCCGAGTGGATGATCCATCTTGGCCTCTTCCAGTGGTCCCCAGCATTACAGATACCAGTCTTCAGCCAATTTGATTCACTCCATGTGATATCAAGAAATGGTTGGAGAAACTGAACACTGCAAAGGCTACTTGGTCTGACAACATTCTTGCAATAGTACTGAAGACTTGTGCTCCAGAACTTGCTGCTCCCCTAGCTGAGCCAGCACAGTCCAGTTACAACACTGGCATCTACCTGACAATGTGGAAAATTGCCCAAGTATGTCCTCTATGCAAGAACCAGGACAAATCCAACCTGGTCAATTACCACCCCAGTCTACTTTCAAACATCAGTAAAAAGTGATGGAAGGGGTCATCAACAGTGCTAACAAGCAGCACCTGATCAGCGACGGCCAGTTCCCACCAGGGAAAATCAGCTCCTGACCTCATTACAGCCTTGGTTCAAACCTGAATTCCAGAGGTGAGGTGAGAGTGACAGCCCTTGAATTTTAAGGCTGCATTCGACCAAGCGTGGCATCAAGGAACCCTAACAAAACTGGAATCGATGGGTATCGGGGGCAAACACTCTGCTGGTTAGAGTCATGCCTGACACATATGAAGGTGGTCATGGTTGCTGTAGGTCAGTCATCTCAACTCCAGGACATCACGGCAGGAGTTCTTCAGGGTAGTGTCCTAGGCCCAAACATCTTCAGCAGGTTCATCAATGACCTTCCCTCCATCATAAGGTCAGAAGTGGGGATGTTTGCTGATTGCACAATGTTCAGCACCATTTGCAACTCCTCTGACACTGAAGCAGTCTGTATCCAAATGCAACAAGATCTAGACAATATCCAGGCTTGGGCTGACAAGTGGCAAGTAACGTCTGTGCCACACAAATGCCAGGCTGTGACCATCACCAGTAAGAGACAGAGACGATCTAACCATCACCACTTGACATTCAATGAATTCCCCATTACCAACATCCTGGAGTTATCACTGATCAGAAGCTCAACTGGACTCACCACACAGTGACAAGAAGAGCAGGTCATAAGCTAGGACTACTGCGGTGAATAACTCACCTCCTGACTCCCGAAAGCATATCCACCATCTACAAGGCACAAGTCAGGAGTGTGATGGAATACTCCCTACTTGTCTGGATGAGTGCAGCCCCAACACTCAAGAAGTTTGACGCCATCCAGGGCATCGCAGCCTGCTTGACTGGCGCTGCATCCACTCCCTCCACCATCAACGCTCAGTAGCAGCAGTGTGTACTTTCTACAAGATGCATCGCAAAATTCAAAGATCCTCAGACAGCATTTTCCAAATCAATGACTACTTCCATCTAGAAGAACAGCAGATATACGCGAACACCATCACCTTCAAGTACCCCTCCAAGCCACTCACCATTCTGACTTGGAAACAAATCACCGTTTCTTCATTGTTGCTGCGTCCAAATCCTGGAGTTTCCTCCCTAATGGCATTATGGGTCAACACACAGCAGGTGACTGCAGTGGTTCGAGAAGACAGCTCAGCACCACCTTCTCAAGAGTAACTAGGGATGGGCAATTAAAGCTAGCCACCCAGCGATGTCCACATCCCACAAAATGAATTTTTAAAAAATCATGTACCTATCCAAACGTCTTTTAAACATTGTAATTGTACCTGCATTCACCACTTCCTCAGGAAGTTCATTCCATACACAAACCATTCTGTGTATAACAAAGTTGTCTGTCATGTCTGTCTTAAATCTCTTTCCTCTCACCTTAAAAAAAGGTGTCCCCTTGTCTTGAAATTCCACATCCTAGGGAAAAGACAACTCCCATTAACTATCTATACCCCTCATTATTTTTTAAACCATCTAATTGCCTCTCAACCTCCTACATTGCAGTGAAAGCAGTCCCAGCCTATCAAGAGATAACAAATTATAGAGCTGGATGAACACAGCAGGCCAAGCAGCATTAGAGGAGCAGGAAAGCTGACGTTTTGGGTCTGGCCCCTTCTTCAGAAGAAGGGTCCAGACCCGAAACGTCAGCTTTCCTGGTCCTCTGATGCGGCTTGGCCTGCTGCGTTCGTCCACCTCTACACCTTGTTATCTCAGATTCTCCAGCATCGGCAGTTTCTACTATCTCTCCCAGCCTATCAAGCCTTTCTTTATAACTAAAACTTTCCATGCCCGGCAACATCCTGGTGAATCTCTTCTGAACGCTCTCCACTTTAATAATATCCTTCCTATAACTGGGCAATCAGAACTGGACGCAGTATTCCAGAAGAGGCCTCAATGTCCCATACAACCTCAACGTGAGTTCCAAACTCCTATACTCAAAGGACTGAACAATGAAGGCAGGTGTTCCAAATGCCTTTTGAAGCCACCCTGTCCAAATGCGACACAAACTTCAAAAAGAATAACGTACCTGCAGTCCTAGGTCCCTCTATTCTACAACACTACCCAGGGCTATCATTAAGTGCTATCGTTGTTTGTTGTACCAAAACACAACACCTCGTATTTATCCAGATTTTGAAAAGAGTATTTTTTATAAACTTGGAAAGGAGAATATATAGACTATGACCAAAGCATACAACCCAGATTAATTGGATAGCTCTTTCAAATAGCTAATACAGGTATAATACATCAAATGGCCTCATTCTGTGCTGTGCAATTTATAATCATTGAAATTAGATAATACGCTTGTTACATATTAAATTCTGAAAAGTCAGAATTCTGTATGCTTACAGCCTCATTACAAGCACTAGATCATTTACATTCATTAAAAGTTATAATAATTTATAATGGAAAAAAGTCTATTCATTTTTGGTTAATAACATTTGGCATTTCTATATCAAATTCAACTTTATATTCAGCCCAAAATCTCATGAGAAGGAACCTGTTGTCCATACTCAATAGCAGAATTCTACATAACTTAATACAATTAAGATATCCACGAATCTAGACCAAAAAAAACATCAGGAGTTGCAGCAGAAAAGCCATTAACGCAGTAAACTGTTAATGCTCTACATAAAAAAAGACACGCAATTTCTCGTCATACGCGCTAAATATATGAATCATGAATACTTCATCTTGAATCTGCACTAGCTATTAAAAGGACGGCATTTAAAAGGTGAAAATATTTGTAAGGCCTCCTTCAATGTGATACGCATCTGAAAACAGAAAGGTTCAGGAGAAAAAAAAGATTAACAACCTATTCAACTCCTGCCACACACACCTCGCCGTCCCTCGAGCTGGGATTGCTCAACTCGCCGACGTTCACCATTTGCAGAAATCCGGGATAGCCTGCCTGGTCACTGACGCATTTTATGTGGAAGGGCGATGAAAATCTCGTCCTCGATTGAAAAATAAATAATAGCTCGAGACTAAGACGGATTTGCGCCCATTAACAACAACCCAATGAGACAGTTCAGAAGCTTGCAATCACAGTGAGAGTGCGTGCGATGGAGGGGAAAAAAAACTGCAATGCTGCTGCTGTGCTTGATCCAAACCCTGGAGCCTCTCATTCAAAACCTGTGACTGTTGGTCCGCTGGATCCCCTTCACCATCTTCCCTCCCAAACAAGTACTAACACACCACTGCTACATTAACAAGTCAATACAAAGTAGCAGGTTTAAAAAAATGTTATAATGGTCCAGGCGAACTAAATCCTCTCCAAATCCAGAGCAGCACAGATTTATAGCGCTGTCTGCGGCAGCGGATTAGACCCAACGCCATCATGCAATGGTTCAAATCGCAGCCATCAACTAAAACACCGGCAATGGGACAAAGCAGCGGCGAACTGCAAAGCCAACACAGGTTAAAACCAGTCAGATTTTACTACCTTCTATTTTTGCTCGTCTCTCTCTCTCTTTCTGGCGAGATGGCTTTCCTCAAGCTCTTGCGACATGAACCATATCAGAGATTTCCGTCGGCACTTCACCTATCGCACAGCGTCAGCGTCTCTTCACTTCCTCCCTTTACCCCTCCCCCGCCAGCCGGCACTTCATTTACTGTCGGCAAAGAGAGAAAAAAAATCCACGCTCCTGCTGGATCCTGGGAAAAGGAATCCCGCCCACCCCGCGCGCTGACCGTTGAGCGGTTGCGCCGGGTGCTTGGCTCGCGGACATGCACGCGTTATTCCTCCTCCCATGTTGGGGGTGGGTCCCATCACGCCTCCTTTGCCCCGGCCCCCAACGAGGCGGATGAGTGACAAACGCATTTGCCAATCGTCAGTCGTACATGCCGAGTGGGCGGCCCGGCGCCTTGAGTTCCCGCGGAGGGTGTAGCACCAATCAGCGTTAGGGAAGGGTAGCAGGCAAGTTTGGTTGAGCCTCAGGGACGTTCAACCAAACTTTTCATTGAAAGATCGCGAGCTTTCCTGCCCTGCGGTTCCTGGGTACAAACAAAAATCTCCCACATTTGAGGTAGGTGCGCTAGTTTTAAAATTCCGGTTCTGCCTGAAAACCGCTATCGTTTTTAACTACCGTGTGCAAATTAAAATAAACGGAGCTCTTAAATGTTCCAGTGATTCTGTATTCGCTGAGAATATTGTTGTTTACCTGGGACAAGTTTTTTTTTTGTGTCCAGTGCACGTAGGCCTCGGCGACGCAGTGACTTCTCAACGCTCTGCTGGAAATCCTATCGGGCAGTACAATCCTTTCACTTTATTTACACACTCCTTTCACTTTATTTACAAATTTGGTTTCAATATAAACTTTGCTCTGTCGTAGTTTGTTTTAAAGCTTCATTACAACCCACGTTTTAAGGTCATGAGAAAATCTACAGTTTTCGAGATGAAAATCTTGATATTTTTATTCGAATTTTATGCTTAAAAATTCCAGGAATTGATTCAATTTGTTGAAATTGAAATACAAACGGTCGACACGTACCTACGTCGAGGCATTTGTTACTTAAGTACATATAAAGCAGAAGTTTAAAATTCCTCGTACCTTTTATAGTTTATGAAAATGGGGCCGTTTGGAACAGCGGTATGTCATCTTGTTAAAGGACAAATTTATTTCTCAAAATGTAGAAACTTGAAGAGTTTGAATGTGTGTGTTTACATTTTTTAAATGTAAGCAAACAGAATGTCCTACTTATAAGTGAATGAACCTGCATTTTTCAGTTCACTTTCTGTGCTAGAGATACATCAATGTTTCCTGGATTACTGTGCAGTATGAAGAAGGATGTGGAATAGAAGTAATGAATAGTTAGGAAATTGAGTTGAAAATGCAATTACAGATTTTGTAACAGAATTGGTAATAACATACTGTCAAGGTGGGTTAATTTAAAACTTGAAGTGTCAGAAGGAAAAGCAGCTGAAGGTGAAGTGTGGACAGAAAATAACGTGGTCACAAAGTATAGATGGAAGTGATTGGTGAGATGGGAAGGAGTGAGAACAATGGTGCTAAAGTAAATTTGCTAGGACATGGGCTGACAGGATGATGATTTAAGCACTAGACTTTGCTTGCACGGGTGGTAATACAAGTTCTGAATTAATTGTAATTTATGTGAAGTAGAGGCTGTCAATATATTTAAGAAATTATATTTTACGATCCTTGAGATTGGATTAGAATTTTGATACTAGCAAGGTAGAGAGGTTGGGGAGTAATTTAGGTTTTATGAAAATGGAAAACAGAAACAGTAATTGGAATGAAGGCTTAAAACAAAATCACAACTGGTTAACCTGTCAAGATGCTGTATCTCTGCACCTAGCTTGATGTTCCAGTTGGGAGGCTGACGGACCCAAAAGCCGAGACTCGTAGGTGCAAGAAGAATCTGCTGATTTTGACAACATAGCACTTATATGCTTTCAGGACAAGATATTCAAACCCCACTTAGTCCATTGTAAAGTACATCATTTATAATAAAGTATATCTGCATTGGCTATTGCCAGTGGTTCTGAATCTAATGCAAATTTTGTCAGTCTGCAACCAACCATATAATGTTTCTTCATCAGCTGGAGGTCTGCTTATGGTTTTCAGATGTTGTTGTTGGCTAGCTAATTTGAGGCAGAAGATTTGAGTCCAGTTTTTAGGAACAGATTCCTGTAACGCTTCTTTCAGAATACAAGAAATGACTCGTCTTTGAATCAGAGGTGCTGACCTATTTTGAATTTTTTTTGCATGTTTTTGAATGTATCAAGTTACATACAAAGTTTAAATGTATATTATTAATCTGAATCTTTCTCAGAACTTGGCCTTCTAATGTAGTCATACAGTGACTAGGGTTACGCACTGGCTACTGAGATATTGCTGTACCAGTAGCTTGTACAGTTTCACCACCAATTTATGCTGACAGACATTGAAAATTTCATCAGTTTGAGGTCTGTGTCTTATGGTTATGCAAGTACAGATTAGAATTGAGAATTACTGTGGTTATCCAAATAACACGCTCTGTTCAGAGAATAGTAGCATTGTAAAAGTTGATCGAATTTAAATTTAGTAATTATATTTCAATTAATTAAATCATTAATAAAATGCTAGTCCCATTAAAAATGTTTGTGAAATTGATCGATTGTCATAAGACTGTTGCCTTCAGTAATGCCATTCAGAGGAGAAAATCTGCCATCATTACCTGATCTGTGCTACATATGACAGCATGTGGTTTTTTTCTGGACCGAAATGCCTACAAGTCGCTCATTTATATCACATTGTCAGAGAAAAAAAAGATACTTTGGGTATCCTGCAGCACTTGGACAGCAGCGGTTCAGGAAGGTGGTTTACCATCAGTTTCTCAAGGCCGGTATGGATGGGTATTAAAGGTATTGCCCATCCCTAGTTGACTATAAAGCAACAACATTGGTGTGGTTAAAATTGAATCAGAGATAGTAGGAACTGCAGATGCTGGAGAATCCGAGACAACAAGGTGCAGGGCTGGATGAACACAGCAGGCCAAGCAGCATCGTAGGAGCAGAAAGGCTGACGTTTCAGGCCTAGACCCTTCATCAGAAAAATAATTGGAGTCACATACAAACTAGACTGAGCAAGGACAATTGTTCATCTAGCTGTAAGGATCTTTAATCTGATCAGGTACTGATAGCAGATTTTCTCCAGATTTTTCTCCCTTGCATGGCATTACTGAACATTTGCCCTAATTGTCCTTGAAATGAGTGACTTTAAGCAGTTTCAGTGGCCAGTTCAGAGTTAACCATATCAACACGTGTGTTGAGTACACATGGGCCGGGCCAGATAAAGGTGAGAGATTTCCTTTCCTAAAGGACATTAGTGACCCAGATGAGTTTATGATCGATTGTAGTTTTGCGATCACCATTACTGAGACTGGCGTTCAATTTTGGAATTATTCTTTGAATTTAAATTCTACCATTGGCAGTACAGTGGTAATATTACATGACTAGTAATTGGTGGAATTTAAATTCATTTAGTTGCAGTTGTGTATCATTAGACCATGCCTATGGGTTATTTGTCAACAACGTTATTAGTGTAACACCAGTGGCAGTTTTTTTTATTATTCCTTCACTGGATGAGGGCATCTCTGGCAAGGGCAGCATTTATTGCCTATTCCTCATTGCCCAGAGGGCAGTTAAAAGTCACGCACATTGCTGTGGTCTGGAGTCACATGTAGGCCAGGCCAGATCAGGTAGGGATGGCAATTTCCTGCAATAGTAAATCAGATAGGTTTTTCCAACAATTGGCAACAGATTGATGGCCATCATCAGACTCTTAATTCCAAATTTTTTTACTGAATTCAAATTCCACCAATTGCCATAGCAGGATTTGAACCCAGGTTCCAGAACATTACCTGGGTTTCTGGATTAATAGCCCAGTGATAGTATCACCAGCCCATTGCGTCCCGAAGTTGATCGAATTTAAATTTAGTAATTACATTTCAATTAATTAAATCATAAATAAAATGCTAGTCCCACTAAAAATGTTTGTGAAATTGATCGATTTTCATAAGACTGTTGCATTCAGTAATGCCATTCAGGGGAGAAAATCTGCCATCATTACCTGATCTGTGCTACATATGACAGCATGTGGTTTTTTCTGGACCGAAATGCCTAGCAGTTGCTCATTTACATCACATTGTCAAAGAAAAAAAGATACTGTGGGTATCCTGCACCACTTGGACAGCAGCGGTTCAGGAAGGTGGTTTATCATCAGTTTCTCAAGGCCAGTATGGATGGGTATTAAATGCTGGTCTTGCCACAGCACTAATGCAAAGCACATTTAAAACAAAAGTATTTTTATTATCTGAAACATAAATTTTGAGTATATTATCAATTATCAACTAATAATACAGTTAGTTGTATGATTTTCTTTATTGCTTTGAGCTCTGATAATCTAGGTAATAGTTCTGACCATCTGTTCTGAATAAGTTTCTGAAAATATAAGTAGTTTTAGCAAAACTAGTATTAATATTGCCCTGCATGTGGTGTGCATACTGTGAAGAGTACTGTTGTTATGCCTGGAATATTTGTTAATACATTATTTGCGTAGTAATGCGATTGTCCATGATGATATTTATAATGTCCATTTGGAATTTGATCTAATGTGCTTTCTACATTAATTTTTTTTGAATTCTGTAAGTTGGAATAAGATAAAACTCTATGATCTAATGCACCAGTGAAGTCTCCAAGGTAAAGGTTTGATATTTTGGTGTCGCAAGTGTAAAATTTGCCTTTTCACAAAATGTTTCAAGTTATGTATCCAGTTTTTTTTTGGTATTGTCAATGTATGGTTTAACCTGAAGATATTGTTTTGCTGCATTTTGTATTAAAAGTACCAGTTAGTATAATCAGTGGTTCCCCATTATTTATTTATATAACTTCATCAATTCTAAAGACAAAACAGGCAATGTGACCCAACTGGTTTATGCTTCAAATAAGCCTTCTCCTACCCTCGCCCCTCTCAACCTATCAATGCGTATTCCAAGATAACAAGGTAGCAGGAAAGCTGACGTTTCGAGTCTGGACCTTTCTTCAGATTTCCAATTTGCCTTTTAGGGACCTTCTTTGCAAGAGCCAGTATTCCCAAGTTAAGGTGATCATAAAGTTAGAGTCAAGAGTTTTTACAGCAAGGAATTTGATTTAATTTATTATTGTCATGTACCTAGGTACAGTGAAAAGTTTTGCGTGCAGTGCAGGCAGATCATACCATACAAAGTGCATTAGGATAACGGAAGACAGCAAAGAATACAATGTTATGGTTGCAGAGAAGGCGCACAAACGGCGAGATCGACATTAAATTTAAAATTTGAAAGGTCCAATCTGAAGTCTAATAACAGCGGGGAAGAAGCTGTTCTTGAATATGTTGATATGTGTGTTTAGGCTTTTGTATCTTCTGCCTGATGGAAGAGAGTCTAGCCAGGGTTGGAGGGGTCTTTTATTATGTTGGCTGCCTTCTCGAGGCAGTGAGAAGTATAAATGGAGTCAATAGATGGAAGGTTGGCTTGTGTGATGGAC